TTTATTTATTCTACTGGTTTCCACTCTCGATAAAACTCAGTATATATATATGAGTATCCATTTATATATATCCATATATATCTATATATATATATATATATATATATATATATATATATATATATATATATATATATATATATATATATATATATATATACGCATTTATAACGTCACTTAAATTCATACATACGCATGATATATATATATATATATATATATATATATATATATATATATATATATATATATTATGTATATGAGAGATATATATCATATGATACATATATCAAATATATAATATATATATATATATATATATATATCATACGAATATATACCTTTAGTTGCATTCATACATATACGGATACGTATCTTTACATAGAGTCCTTCATATATAGCCATGAGCCACGAACGTTCCTTATTGAAGCCTCACCATTCCGTCCATCCACTTGTGTATCGCACAATAATACATTGAAAACCTTTTACGATGAACTTGATAACAATTTATCCTTTTTACCGCCACTCAATTATTATTTCCTTTTCCCCTATTGCTCTGTCTTTTTCCTCATTATTTTTGAAAAACGTTTCACGGATTCAATTAAGATAATGACATGAACAATATCCGGGGTAATGAGTTTTCAGTTAGGCCCGGGACTAATCGGCAAGGAACCACGCCCGCTCTCTACCTCGCTACAACAACAATGGCTACTACTTAGGCACTTGAACATGTTGCAACTTCCGATTAGAAATCACAGGGGCGGAAGGAAACGAAGAATGCAGAGTCAAAATATAAACAACAATAATAAGGATAACATTACAGTAATAGGTTGTGTAGGAAATAGAACGAATCCTAATGACAATGACGAAATGATTGGAACTATTTAAAGTCTTCGAGAATAACGAAGAATTTGTTAAGAACTGGAGGAGACATTTTCGCTCTTGTTAGTTTTCAAGAAGATCGTCACTGCTCTCAAAATGTCGGGCTAAAAGCAAGATGTAACCCTAAGTTCTATGCTAATAGCTTGCGACGGCTCTACGTTTGTTGTCACCCCGGGAGGCAAGCTTAACTTACAAGTTAATTCTTTTTAATTTTCAAAAGGAATAAAACTGATTGGTGATAGTTCAGGGTTCGATCAGTGATGATGGTTTGTAACTAATTTGGTTTTCGAAGTATTGAATGAAACCAACATGTTATTCCACAATTGAAGAGTTAGATCTAGATCAGGTAAGAGATCAGTTGCCAATTTCTGACCATCAAGATTGTTACAGGTGCGACCGTATATCGTCGCATCATCGGCACAGACGCTTACAAATGATCGAAGTATATTATTAGGTAGATCATTTATGTAAATCAGAAAGGGAGTTGGTCCGAAAAGTGAGCCCTGGGGGACGCCTGCGCTGACCCCTACGCCCTAGGAGAACTGGCCATTAATAATTACCTTCAGGGATCTATCTGGAGAGTTTATGTAGCAAAACTTTGTGCCACACCTTGTTGAAGGCCTTCGAGATATCTAATGCTATGATCCTTGTGGTATCCTTGTGGTATGAGTGTCGTCACTAATTTTGTGTGTAATGTTAGTTAGGACATCAGCAGTGGATCGGGCTGATCGAAACCCATACTGTTCGTCGAACAAGTTGTTCTTATCCAGGTGCTTGTCATCCTTCTTGTCGATTAAGGCCTCAGAAAGCTTACTGATGATACTTGAGGTAAGTGGTGAATTTAAGGCCCAGTAATCTCTCAAGGAACGGTGCCCCCACCCACGAGAGGAGATCTATTCATCGTGGATGGTGGTAGTTCGGGGTCTGATCGGCAAGAATGTAATGTAACCAGTTTGGTTTAAAAGGCATTGAATGTAACCAGCCAGTTTTTCCCCAGTGGGAAATTAGTGTTCCATCGGAAGAGAGGACCGCTGCCAATCTTTCATCGTCAAGACATCCATTCATCGTGATTGGTGATAGATTTCGGTTCGATTAGCGTTGATGGAATGTAACTAATTTAGTTTTCGAAGCATTGATTGAAACCAACATGTTATTCCACAAATGAGGAACTAGATCTAGATCAGATGACAAATCAGTAGCAAATTTCTGATCATGAAAAATTTGAAAGGTGCACCGATATATTGTCGGATCATCGGCATAGATATTCACAAATGATCGGAGTATACTCTTAGGCAGATCATTAACGTAAAGTAAAAAGAATGTTGGTCCGAAAAGTGACTTGTAGGAGACACCTTCATTGATTTCTAGAGGACTAGACGTTAACGACTACCGCTAGGGACGTACCTACCCGTTAGAAAGGACTTTATAATTGAGAAGACTCTTCCAGCGATTCTATAGCTGGAGAGATTGAATAGCAAACCTTTGTGTTGCACATTGTCAAATGCCTTCGTAATATCTAATGATATGCTTTTTGAGGCGTATTTGCTGTCAAGAGCCTCACTAATTCTGTGAGTTATGGTAATTAGGATAAAAAGCGGAATCTAGTTACGGAAATTTCTGCTAGAAGTGTGTAATAATTAAAAAAAACACAAAAGGATAAAAAAATCAGAATTAAAAGAAAGAAAGGAAGTAATTAAAGTCAAACAGACTTAAATTACAATTAAAAATGGGCTTCCATATTGAAAAGCGAGCAGAGTGATATCAGCGAAAAAATATGTTTGACTTGCCGACGCCAATAAAAGTGATAATAATCAAACGTTATAGGGTATATCACCCCCATCCTGCATTAGAAATTAGCGGAAGGGTCACTAACGCATTCATTAAATAAAGAAAAAGGGGAAAAATACAATATATTTTATATTTGGTGGAATTTCTTACTCTCCTCATAATACTGAACCCTAATAACTTATTTTGGTCTGATCTTATAAAACCTATTTAATTATGACGAAAGACGCTATCCACTGATTAAAAGAACTTCCCAATTTGTAAATATATATATATATATATATATATATATATATATATATAATTATTTATTTAAAATATGATTCAAAAACTACAAGAAGAAAAGTCTCATGTTTCAAAACAAGAGCCGAAAACTTCAATATAATTATTTAAATTAAATTGATGAAAATAAGCTCTGTTTTATTTTAACTCAATTTAATTTAAATAATTATATTGTTTTGATGGAACTTGTTTGAAACATGAGACTTTTATGTAGTTTTTGGAATCATATTTTTAAATAAATAATTATATTTATGCTCTACTTTTGTATCGAGCACTATTTTTTAAAATAATAACTAAAATAGTAAGGGACTTTGGATTATTTACCTAACCAGTTCCTTCCTATTTTCTATATATTTTCTCATATATATATATATATATATATATATATATATATATATACAATTTGTGAAAATATATATATATCTATATATATAATTATTTATTTAAAAATATGGTTCAGCACGCTACATAAGAGTTCTCATGTTTCAAAACAAGAGCCGAAAACTTCAATATAATTATTTGAATTAAATTGACATAAAGTACCAAGCTCTGTTCCATCTTCAAGTGAATTTTTTGGGGAATCAATTTCGCTTGAAGATGGAATAGAGCTTGGTACTTTAATTCAATTTAATTCAAATAATTATATTGAAGTTTTCGCCTCTTGTTTTGAAAAAACATGAGA